TTTTCGGTATACATAAAAAGTTGGTATACTTTTGGTTTAAAATGCATCTCGCTCAGGTGTATTTGGCATAAAATAATATGTAAGTATGTAGGGTGATACGTATGTATGTATACTTAAATAATACTGTGTTGGGATTATTCTTTTAATTTGAGTCGTGTTTAGTAAGTAATAGAATATTAGTGTACATGCATGGGCATTTTTAAAATTACAAATAATTTAAAATGTATTGTTTTTTTTTTTTTGGTTATAAATCATTATTTATTTATATCTGTTACAAATGTCCATCTCGTACGCTCTTGGTGAGGTTCGGACTTTTCATGCACGCATTCATTCACTTCGAATCCCATAAAATATTGTGGGTGTGACTCACCTGCCTGGTTATGACGAATTTGGTTATGCGATAATATACATACATACATTCATTTTTTTTTCAGTTTATACAACAATAAAATAAACTAGAGAATAGTAATTTTTTAACCAGCTAACCTGATAATCAGGCAGGTTTGAACACATCCACATTGAGAATCACAGGTGAATGAAAATTATTTAGCATAGTTTTAGGTATTTCTATATTAAAAATTCAGTGAAACGAGCAAACGAAAATCATAAACTAGAAACACACTATTCAACGTGAAACACTTACCAGCTTTGAACTTCAAACAAACACCAACCAGTTGTTTACAAATTTCCAACAACTCAATATTTTCATTAAGAATTTTTGTAAAAAAAATACGAGTGTTATTGTAGCCACATTGTCTAAAGATCGAATTTCGCTGTTCCGCAGGCAGTATAGGACATATTTTATTTTAATTATTTTTTTTTCTTTTTTAGCTACCCTTCCATCAACCAACAACACTCAAAGCGAAAATGTTTAGCGACTAGAAAATGATTTTTTAAAAAAATTTAAATTTTTTTCACATAATTTTCTTTTATTTAAATACTTTTCATGTTTTTGCGTTTTTTTACTCAATTGTAACGTTTCTAATTGCTATTGTTGTAATTTGTGTTCATCATTTTCATCTCGTTATTGTTATATTATTATTTAATTTTTGTTAAACTCATCTTTTCATCAATACGCTTAAGTTTTATATATATTTATATATATAATATATTTATATATTTAAATGATAATATACGTACATACGTAAGACTTAAGAGTAAAGGAAAAAATTATGCAGTTTGTGGGTTTTTTGCCTTTTTTGTTGATCAGCATCAGCATCATCATCGTATCTCTTATTTTTTTATAAAAAAAATTACACATAATACAATTAAAATAAAATAAGAAATTAAAAAGTATTTCTTAACATAATAATTATATACTTCTTTCCTTTTTCATCGATTTTTGTTGGTTTTGTGTTATTACATTTTTTGTTTGTTTTACTGTTTTTTAAGTTTTCTTGCATTTTTATGATTTTTTTTTTTTATTATATTTAATTTAAATGGTTTTTGACTACTACATTATTATTACGCCTGATCGTCGGAGCCGGAGCCGTCATCGTTATCGTCGTCATCGTCTGTAATAGAAGAAATTTGGAAATTATTATACATTATTGTTTAGGGAGAGCTAGAAGTTCTGAAACTATTACGCGGTGTAAATGCCTCGTAAATCATACAAATCTCGTAAATTTACGGTCTCGTAAACCATCTATCAATTTGATTAAATGTGAGGGATGCGGTAAACTTATCGAAAGTTAAAGTCGAAATAAAAGTATTTCAATCTGGTTTAACACCATTTTATCAAAATTTGGAACATTAGTAGATGAGGCGTGAAGGAAAATACATTTTTGATTTTTACTTCCTAACTCATAAATTTACATGTTTTGTAAGTTTACGTGTTTAGATGAATACCCTTAGCTCATCACAATACCTCGACTAACCCTAGAGGTTCTATAAATTTCATGATAGATCCCGGGGATAGGAAGTGGGCAACTATAGTTAAGTGCTATAAAGTTGAAGATAAGGGAATTTCGAGGTACCAGCAATCAATATTTGAGTGTAAATAAGCAGCGCCAACAGTTGAAAAAAAATTCCATACAAATTTGCGCGGCAACCACAAAAATGCAGTTGCCATCTGTAATACAATTTCAGCCACTGGCAACGCAACTGAAGTTCGGTTGTCATCCGTAATGGGTCCATTAAATATGTCCTTTAAATATGAAAAATCAATTTTGTTCCAGAAAAGGTAATGTTCAATTTACATTTCAAAAGTAAAATGAATTACTTGTGATTTTTAGGAAAGCTTTATAGAAACCTTTGTTTTATTCTTTAAAAATCACTTCGAAAGTAATGATTTTGATCAAGTAGTCGATATACGTCTTTCGAAGATTTTCCTTTTAATAAGATCAAAAAAGTTTTCAAACATTAACAGCAGTATTAAACGTAAATGGAAGGTGAGAGGGCATTTTTAATAGTTAATTCTGTTTTGAATTTTTTGCAAACATGAGATTTGTTTTAAATGTTGTATCAGTAGCAAAATTGCATCGACTTTGTACGTTTTTTTTTAACAACCCTAATTTTTATATTCGATATGACAGTTATATTCGGACGAAAATTTGGTGTTTTATTGCCGCCCTGAGGTAAGCGGCGATAAAATCTACAAGGTGGTACTTCTTTCTTTGGAATTTAAAATTATTGAAAGATGTCGAAATTTGTCGACACGATCCAGCGAACGACTGCCGAATGATTACCGACATTCGAAACAGGGATGACTCAATAAGGCTATACATTTGGTTTTAAGATTAATTTTTTTGGCATTGAAATATGTAAATAACTGTGTATGTATTTATATTCCTACTACAATTTTTTATATTTATACTTAATAATATTTACACCCAAATTTACAAAAAAATAAATAAAACTTTAAGTGCTCTATAAATCGAAAATTTGGTGTGAAAATTTCACCTTATAAAGCTTTTAAAATCTACTTTACTTTTTATGATTACGGCCATAAATCTTTACATAGATACTACATACCGTCACATTCGAGATCTTCCTCTTCACCATCGTAGGGGATATCGTATTCATCACTTTCAATGTCACTATCACCCTCAATGATCTCTTCTAAAACTTCATCCTCATCCGAATCAGCGTCAGCGGCAGGGGCCTTTTCTTTTTTGGACTTCTTTGAATCGGCGGGTTTTGCCTGTAAAAGTAGTAAGTTAGAGGAAAATGAAAATTTTAGTTTTATTCGTTTATTTTTTATTGTATTGCAGAGCGTAATTACATCGACGACTTTTAGTTCACAATCAGATCGAAAGAAATTGCGCCAAAGTGGAGAGTCGGAGTCCAAGAGAACTTCCCAAACCGTTGAGCAAGTATTTTGTTTTAACGAGAGAACTAGAAAATCTAAGCTCTAAACATCTATATTTTCGTTAATCTATGTAAAATGTACGATATTTTGCCCCTCTAAAAAATTACTCGTGTAATTATAATTGGGAAGGTTAGCAAGGTCCTACAAATTAATGCTCAAGTGACACATAACATATGTATGTACATTCATGTGTACCTATACATAATACACTGCAAAATTTACAAGAACAATATGCGCTCACTAAGAGTCACGCGTTCAATTTTCACATTCAGTGATCTAATAAAAAAAAAAAAAAACTCATGAGTTACGAGTTGAATCATTCCCAACGCAAGCCATCACCACCACCACCACCACCACCACTACCACCGCCGCCGCCGCCATTACAAACTGTTCTCATTCGGGCAGCTGCAGTAAAGCGTACGGCGGCAACGATGCGCGTCAGTAAAAATAATTGAAATTTCAAAGGAAAAAATATGCTGACTACGTGCAGCGTATCCGCTTCTATGTAAGCAAGCCGTCAGCTAGCAAAGTGACGCTGTCGCTGCTCACCACAACGTACCGCTGCCAACAGCTGCCGAAGTAAACTGTACCTGACGCCCGAGCGATAGCTAAAGCGGTGGTGGCAGCGGCGGCCATCTGCTGTAAACACATCGTCATCGTACAGCAATAGTGCAGGCGGCCATCTGCTAACGTTTGCCAAGACAACGATGTACCGAAGCGGCAGAAGCAGAGGCAAACGTATGCCTACCGAGCGGTATGTCATTTCAAAAGCCTGTTCGTTTGTTATGCGGCAGCTGCGTGCATGTACATCATCTATACGTACTACTCTACGGCATTGGTACGTTATTTTTCTTGTTTTAAATTTATTGCATCGCCTTTGTCGTTGACCACAAAACGAGAGCGAGCGGCGAGATAAGAGTGTGAAAATGCCGCAATTGCTGTACCTAAAAGCTATGTATTGCCGTCATCTTTCTCACGGGAGCAGCATGCTATGGACATGTGCTTGGAAAGATATGGACTAGTTCGCTAGCTTTTAGTACAGCGCACATTAGACCAGCGTGGGTACAAGCGTATGGATGTATGCATGTATGTATTTAGTAATGGCGGCGAAATACGAGGCTCTTAAAATATTAACAACCCAACGAATTCGCTTCACTTCGGTCCACACATACATGCATGAATATGTATGTATGTGTGTATGTAAATACATGGCGCGGGGAGAAAAGCGTGCAGCGTGCGCAGTGTAGGCATATTGACAGGAAAAACAAAGCCAGATAAAATAAACGAAAAATGGAATAACCCACAAAAAGGGAAGCGGTGACTTAAGAATGGCTGCTGAAAGCAAATAAAAAGTGGCGCGAGTACAATGAACGCAAATTGTCGCAAGGTAGCCGTGAGCAGCCAGGAAGGGGCGGTAAGGAAAATGTTCAAACCGCCACCGGAAAATGAAAGAAAAGAACAGCAATAGTTCGCTTTCTGTTTGCTAGTGCACATAATCGATGCTTTCGGTAGGTGTAGAGCAGCGCGCTGTTATTTAGTGTGTGAATGCGTTGTAATCTCGTGTAGCAGCACAGTATGGCGTAAAAGTGTTAGCACAAATTACAAAAACCAAATTAATGTAAAAAGCACATGTCATGAATCAGCTAACGAAAGTATGCTGTTTTTGTTGCTGGGGAAAAAGGTGTACACTTGGGTGAATGATATTGAGAAAAACAAGCTCTGATCACGATGGATTCCAACTTTGAAAAACGATGTTAAAAGTTTCTGCCAAGCCACTTCATACTTTATTCAATTAGAGTATCTATACTAGAGAAGAGTAGAGTGTTTGTAGACGTGCGAGAAAAAGAGAAAGAGAGGGAGTGAGAGAAACTATGAGGAGCGCGGCGGCCACACGCTATTAAAGCGTGCGTTTGACGTTTACAATTCAATATTTTCATACATGTTTTTGGCCAAAGTAGCCAAAGTAGTTTTCATTGATTTTTAGAAATATTTGGCAACATGTTTTTTAGTACATACTCAAATTTTGGTAGAGTATACGTTGCTCAAATGAACGTTAGAGAGTATGAAAATATGACCTTGAAAGAGTGCACTAAACCTGTTTCCTTGCTTCATTAATGAATTGGGTTGGAATTGGTAAAAGTAGGAGGCTACTAGTTCGAAAATAGGTATATGTAAATGTATGTATGTAAATGTATGTATGTATATACGCATGTATGGCGGCAAAATAGTAAAGGTGTGTGTAGAGCTTTAAGCATAAAATCGAATAGAAATTAATATTCCCACAAGGAATTTTTTCGTGGATGTCTGCAAAATTAAATTCATAAAACTACACAAGTTTATATTCGACTTTTGTATGCTTCAAAATATATAAAATAGTTTAAGGCTGAGAATATGTTTTCTAATTCCAATTGTTTTTTTGCTAAAATTTTAGAATCCAACAATCGTACAACACCTTTTAAGGTCCTTGCACAGAATTATTTGTGGTTCACAAGTTAAGTTTTTTTTTTGCTTGCTCTAGTTAAATACACTTAAGATCTTTCTACATCCGTTTCTGCTCGAAATACTTAAATTATAGCTGCTTTCTTTTGTAGACCAGTGTCTTAATGTATGCTTTTGGCTTTAAAATCTATTGTGACTAGTACTACTCTTAGTAATAAAGTTTTTTATTTTCTTTATTTTAGGTAGACAAACAATCCTATACCCATGTGTGGGAGTAAGGTAAAGGTGCTTAGCTAAGAATAAATTGGTAAATTCCTTAGTTTTTACCTAAAATTAAAACGAAGCTGTTTCGCGATATGAAAGTGGTGTTTATGACTACAGAAAAGGTATGGTTTTCATAGTTTACTTTTTTCAAATTTCCTGCCTTCTATCTGTCGATAACTCTGAAAATATGTATACAACTTTCCAGTAGCCGATATTTCATTGACTGAAGTACTGTAATCGTTATTTTTAACCCTCTTTTGGTGGCAAGGTGCCGGAAAATCAACAACTAAATACGTTTTTTACGTAGCAATACGAATTCTATGATTTCAAATTATTTCTATTACGCTTTCAATAACTCAATCAAGTATTTTTTATCATGTCTACACAATCTATAGCCCTGAAGCACTATAAGTCATTTAAATTGTATGTAATCCTTGCCACTAATGACTGTTACTATTAAACTCAAACTCTACGTATTGCTTGTGAAGAGTGGCATTAAAAAGGCACACATACCTCCAATACATTCATATGTGAAAAAGCTTATGGTTCCGAACAAAAAGTATCTATCACTTTTCTATCTATACTTGTAACCATTTCCCATTGCTATTTGTGTTCAACTAATTTCAGCGTATTGTTTGCAAATAATTACTGATTCATGAGTTGATTTCCATCGTGCTGAGTTCACATTTTTGCGTCAGCGTCTCTCTACAACACCACCTCGTATGTATGGAAATATTTTTGCAGTTGAAAGACATTTTGGCATGAAATGTTATACACAGTGGAAGATACAAAAGCTTACATACAAGTCAACAATTAAAAGGTTCACAAAGCGTTAATAACAACCAACCAACAGCAACAGCAGCAGCAGCAGAAGTCGCGCTCTCCAAAGTTGAATTGAGGAGATACGAAAAATTGAAGAAATAAAAAGAAAAAAGCCGGCGTGCGATGAAAAGTGGCAGCAGAAATATATAAAATGTGCTATCAGTGTGCGAAAGGGACAAATATCACTAACGTCAAGACGTCAAGTGGAAATGTGTAAATACTTGGCTTTAATACATAACAGGTTTGTTTTTATTTTGAATGGAATGCCATTCTGCTATGTATTCTCCTCTTATGTGCTTTTGTTTGTAGTTTCAGCATTTTTTTGATGTTGCTATCTCTCCCTGACCGCGTGCTTTGACAACTTGAGAATGTACTCGTTTTTTTTTTTTTGGTATACAATACGTAGAACAAGTAAACAAGTGTATCTAGCAAATACGAGTGATGAAAGAGCGAATAGAGAGCGAAAGAACACAAAGGTAAATACATACATGTGTACATATATATAAAAAGTACTTGGCAAATAGAGAAGAAGCACAATGAACAGTAAATGTTCAGGTAAATGGAATAAAAAAATATGCGCTTATCAATCATAAATCCGAAGAAAAACAAGACAAGGAAAGATTATGAAACACTTTTTTAGCTGGCTCTGAAATCAAAGTTATAACTTAAAAAGAAATAGAGAAAAGCGAAAAGTTAAGAAAACGTGTTTGGTTTTTACTTATTTCAGCTTGAATATATATTTCTATGTACATATGTATGCACATATATCACTGACCAACTAGTTAGCTGATCAAAGCTGTTAAACTGTAACAAATGTATAACGAATGGCGGAAAAGGTATAATCGCTAAACCTCCGCGCGCCACGATACGCCGGCCGGTGAGTTTAGTTCCACACACACATGCGTACTCATGCACATCCCCATGAAAAAAAACGTACATACATATGTACTAGAAAAACGCCGATTACGATCGCTCGCACAAGGGTTACGGCGAAGGTACAGAAACGACAAGAAAACTAAAGCAAACAATTATTCCTATAATGAATGAATGGAAGTCGCATTGAGAAATACGTATTACAATAACGAAAATGTATAGAAAAAAGAAAGTCAGAAATTTTGCAAAATAGTTTTAAAACGCGGTATGCACGTTACGGAAGCTGCGCGCGCATTTACACCCAATTAAAATTCAATCACCGCGCGCAATCAAAAAAATTAACTAAGCTATAACTGCAAATGAAAAACAAACAGCTATTGCAAACTAGCGCCGACGTGTCCCAATCGATCGATTTAAATTTGCATGAATGCAGCGTTGCATTTGCGATCGAAAAAGCGTTCATTGCACTAGCCGCTTTATTAAATGCAGCGATTTTAATAAGCTCTTTAGCAGCGAAAGAGAAAAACACCACCCAAGAAGTAGAAGCTTTACTAGCTGCTATGCTGTCAAATGTGGCCTACTTGGGCGTCTAAACACCTACACTTTGCTGGAAATAAATCCAAGCATATGCATACATACATACAATGTAAATAAGTAGATTAATTGCTGTAGTAGAAGCCCATCTGGGCTAACGTAAGCGCCCGCACCTAGTATTTACATAGTGAAAATGAAGAAGAAAGGCAAAACATTTTAAGCAACACTAAAAAATAAAACGATAGAAAGTGTGGAAAAAGGGTGCCAAGTGTTGCGTTTGCGCGCATAAGTATGTGTCCGCTGTGTGGGGACTAGTGGGTGTATGAGTTTATGGAGCGGGTGGAACTTTAGTCGTACTGCTACAATCTGCACGTCAATATAGAGAAATTATTGATTTTCGCTCGGACGCTCCAAGCGTTAAACCAAGCACGGCTACTTTACATATATATGTATATACATACATACATATGTATATACATACATACGTATGGACGTATCACTTCAAACAGCTACCTTATCTCACTTTATACCCGTGAGCTGTGGCTGGCTACTCATTTTTATGTGGTAAATAAAGCGTACGTGCTATTATATTTAGTACTTAATACGTAAGCAGTAATAAATAATTCAGCCTTATGGCACTAAGGCGGCTCTAACAATGGGACAGCAATCTCCAGTGTGTGATCTGTGTACTCTCCCCATTGTCTAGGCTTGCAGTTGCGTCCCATATTGCGCAAATCAGAAAATCTCATACGACCATCATTCGACCGCTAAAACTAAAAGATACAAGACATGTGTGACCAACAAAAAAAAAAAAAAAAAAACAATGCGGAAGTATTTAGGCGCTGACTACTCAGGGGGTGTAAATTGTAGTTGCAGGAAATATACAGAGCGTGCTATAGACAGGAAATGAGAGTTCCATCTCATCGAAATAGTAAGTGGGAGTAGAAAAGAATGAGCAGGATTGAGTGAGAGCGCGCAAAACACGCGTTCGAGAATGATAGAGATACCAAAATGCGCGCGCCTAGATGTGGAGACGAGTACATTATATCCAGGATTACACGAATTTTGCTTCCTCTTACTTTCAAACGCCGCAAATCCATATGTATATGCATAACCATCTCCTGGCTATTCGATTGCCTATTGCTTGAACACAATTTACTTTTATTTCTAGAAGACTTTCGAATCGCTTTATCGAGATATTATGTATGTACATACATATATAAGCCAAACGAATACTGAAATGTCTGCGTTTTATTGAGCTATGTTAAAATTTATGGGTGCTGTTGTAATATATCCCATTGTTTGTGTACGATTGTTCGCCATAAAGGTAGCTACGTAAAATACGTATAAAAACGCATATTAAATGAATCAGCCAGGAGACACATTTGACACCAATACACAAACCAAATAAATTTGGTAAATGTATGCGTAAAGATTACGACTTGTATAAATTATATATTTCACCCAATATACTACAACTTTATAAAGATCACTGGCGATCTTTGAAGAGTTTCTGGCGCCGTATGACAAAATCACATTCATACATAGATGGCTGTGACATTATTAGCGCACTGACTGTACTCTAGAGCGTATATTATGCTTGTGTCAATCACCTATGGAAGCAAAATAGTTTTTTTTCGTGTCACGATAAAGTTTTGTTTATGTAGCGATTGCTTCCAAACAGAAGAACGAAAAATTAATCAGGCGCGAAACATTTTTGTGGTGCGACTGTCAAAGTCTTGTCAAAGTTAACAATTTGCGCGCTCTCGTTCTCGGCCCCTCTTTGTGTTATCTGTTAAACATTTTGACATCGCTCAGTGAGTGTCAGTGTGTGTGTGTGTCGGCACTTGACGCACAAACATGCAAAAGTTGCCTAGTTCACGATGCAAACAAACGCAGCCTCCACCAGCGTTAATTAATTTTTACAAAAGCACATTTTTTTAGAAAATCTGTACTGCTACCAGAGAATTATAATTTAGTGGGCACTTTTTGGCATTACGCTTGAAAATTTCATCCTTTTGCGACCTGACAGTGAACTATTAATTTATCTCTCTATGTGTATTTTTTTTTGAATATGCATTGTACTTACTTCAGCAGGCCGTTTTGTTCCTTTCACTTGTTCCTTGACGGGGGCGACGGCTACTTTGACGGAATCGGGTGCATCCTCCTCATCGGCATCTTCCTTGGACGCTGTACCATTGTCGGCGGCCACTACTTTTTCGTCGACGGCAGGCTTTTTGAGATCTTCCTTCACGGCTGCTGCCGCATCCACGGCATCGGCGGCAACTTTCTCAACGGCGACATCACCATTATTTTGTTCTGTAGCGGCTGACATTTTCTTTGATGTGTTCTGTATTTTGTTAAATTAAATAACTTTTTTTTTTTTTATAAATTATATAACTGCGTTCGCGGTTATTTTTATGTATAAATTGTAATTTTTCAAATTTATTTTATTTGCTTTAACACAAGACGCGTACAACTAGCGATAACGATCCACTCAGCACGAAGCACACAGACACACTGTTCGAGACTGTCGATTGCGGTGTGTATTTAACTTCTGAATGTTAATTCAGCGTTGGTTCTGTGCTGGGTTGTTCTGTTCAGTTCACAGATACTTTGTATCTGTATCTACAGTGGGACACACACAAACAACTAAACAAGCGCTCGTAGTCGGCCGAAGGCGTACTATCTAGACTAAACAACTTCGGTGCGACAACGAGGACGAAGACAATACGTTAAATGACGCTTGTCTTCTCTATCGCTCTAACGTCAAAGTGGGCAGTCAAGCAGGCGGTTGACTGCTAGCTTGCTATAGGTAGGTAGATTATAGATACTTTATGTTGTTGTTTGCTACGCAAATGTGCACACTGTGGCTGCCGACTATACAATCAATCGGGCAGGCTGGCTGGCTGGCAGTTTTCAACAGAAAAAGCGCTTAGGTAGTAGCTGTAGCTGAGGCTTTAGCTGTTGCTGCTTGTATATTATTTTTGCTATATAATATTGAAAGCGTTTGGATTTCTGGGTATTTTCAACCACCGAGATGTGTACTCGTTGAGCGTCTGTATGCGACTGAAAGCGTCTGCTCCACAGCAAAGTTGATGTGTTCAACATTGATGGGTCCGCATAATGCGTGAACCAATGCTTACTATAACTTTGAAGATTTTTTTCACCAAAATCCTTATTCGAACCGATCCGAAATCTATATCAATGTTTAGCGAAAAAAGTATTTGATTTTTTAAAAATATGCTAAAAAATCCTTAAACAAACGCCAAATCGCTAATGACGCATTTAGAGGGTTTCTTGAGTATTTCCATACAAATGCTGCTTGGGTTCCATGAGTACAGTCTCCGCACGGCTCAGTTAAGTGCTGTTTGGCGGTAAATTTGAAAATTGCTTCTATCTTTGAGAGAACATTCCATGGGTTTTAAGGGCGTTGGGTGCGGTGCGGGGTCGTGATGCTTTTGCTGTGCGTCCATTCGCCTAGTTGACAGTATGCCGCAATTGGTTAGTTCGACTGTTGTCTAGACGATGGGTTGGATGGCTGGTTGGTGGGACTGTCGATGCGTCGAGTGGTGAATCGTTGCGGCCATGAGCCGGTATATGAATCAGTGTCTTATGTGGCTTCGGTAGGTGTTCGGACGGGTGGTCGGTTGGAGGGTTGCTGATTGGCTTGTTGTTGGTATTACTGTTCGTTGGGTGCGCTACGAAAATCATCCAAATAATTCAACAAAGATTTACACAATCAGTGATAGTGTGTTGCTTAGGCTGAGGGTGTAGCGTCGATGGAGATTCGTTGTGGTGGCACTTTTGTGTATATACTACATGCATTTCAAGGCAACAACCAGGGGTTTGCAACTTCTGGTATAAGTTGTGGTCTTGCAGACTTTCTTTTCGTAAAGAGTTCTGCAATTTTTCATAAAAAATGCTTCGAAATCCCCGGAAAGTCTCTAAACTCTGACTAAGCTCTCAAGATTGTTTTTTAAATGTTCTTTGGAAGCGTGGAGTTTTCTATATCGCTACCATATTACAGAACTCTATAAACCGACTCGAAAAATTAGATATTGCACAGCCTCTTCAAAAGAGCCACAACTCGAAAAACACATCCCGAAGAAGAAGTACAGACAGGTTCTGCAATTCACTTCCGAGTAAATTTCAACCACATTCAGGGCTCGAATCGTAACATACGATATCGTATTACTCGTCACGTAAAAACACATTTTTCGGATTATGACATATATACGTGAACATACTCTTTATCCCATTTAGCTTATACGAGTGACGTATCACGTAATTTTCTTTCGTGTGGTTTTCGATTCGTGAGCGAATGTTACGATTCGAGCCTAGTTTGAATTCAAAGTGAAATTCAGGTTGAAGTTATTGGAGGGGACCAGATTTATATCGGGCCAAGGACTGTTACTACAGCATCATTCCCCCAAAACCCTTTAGTAAATTGTATTCTGTGCAATAAGAACAACAATACGAAGAACAACCGAAGACTAATTCGAAGAGTAATAAGACGAACACAATTACGAAGGCAGTTACGAACACGAGTAGGAAGACGAGTACGAACTCGAAGAAGGATGCAAGGGCGATTAAGAAGTAGAATATGAATATATGTATATATAAATACAAATACGAATAGAGATGAAAACGAAGACGTAAACGCAAATTGAGACAAACGCGAATACGAACAAAAATGAGAAGACGAGTCCGAATACGTAGACCAACCGAAGACAAATTGGAACACGAATTCGAATAGGATGACGGTGATGAATACGATGACGAACACCAGGACAAGCGACTACAGCAAATGCGTAGTTAAATGCAAAGCCTCATGCGAAGACAAATACGAATGAGGGTTCGAAGTCGGACACGAATGCGGAGATGAATACGAATGTCGAAGAATAATGTGTCACCGAATACGAAGTTGTATACGAAGATATACGGATACATTCCGAAGACAAATATAGGGAAAACGAAAAGGAATGTGAAGGCTAAAACGAATACGAAAGAATCTACCGGACACTTAAAAACTAGAAGAGCAGCCCAATTTCGGCTGTAATTGACACTTCTGGCATTAGTTGGAGGTAAATCGAGCGAATTGATTTATGCAAATAAATCTACCTGAAGTTTTTTTGAGTTGTGCCTCTTTTTAACTGACTTCCAAAAAAGGAGGAGGTTATCAGTTCGTCGGAATATATATATTTTTTTTATGTATGTTACCGCATAACTTTGGACCACGTCAACCGATTTCTTTTATAATAATTATTATTTTTGCGTCAGAAAGATAGTGTCTCAGAGGTGGTGATCCCATAATAATTTGGTTTAGATCCGATCATTGGATCATGAGATATATATATTTATATATGTTTTTTTTTTAATATGAGAATTGAAGTCGGTTTTTTTTTGCTAAAAATTACATGTGTAGGAAAAAGTTTAGCTATAGTAAAAACGAGCCTTAAAAACATAGGTTGGGGAACGCTGCTAAGAATGATGTGAAATGATATGCACTGAAGTTTTTAACCAAAACCGACTTTATGTCGTTTACACACGTAAGTGAATCGAATGAACTGTAAACGGATGGTTGTATGAGCAACACATGTACATACATGCATGCCTACATATGTACATATAAATATGTATATGCATGTATTAATGATACTAAATAATTTTAGTAGGAGTATTACATCCACTCGTATACCTGGCAATAAAGTTGCTTGACTGTGATCCAATGCTGAACTATGGAGACTAAAAAACAAATCGACAAATATATTTACATATGTACATACATGTAAGTACATACATATATCTGTTGGGGAATTCGCTGGCAGTGCAAATACAATAAGAATAAGTATGTACATTTGTATTGCCAATAAAATCGAAATTGTATACATGTGAGCATTAAGGTGATTTGACGAAATATTCTATCCGTATTGAGGTTATTGCATGGGAAAGGATGTAGATGCTCATTAAGCAAACTAGCGGGTACAGTAGGATGTCGATCAATGAAACCCGAAATTAAAAGGTACATATTTTAAAAGTCCAAAATAAGGATATCCATGTGTGCAGAAAACGACGACAATACACATATAACGATAATGGCAAACTTAAATATAACAACATATAAATAAAATAAACAAATAATAAAATTTTCATCATTGTGTAAAAGAAGAATTGTCGAAAGCGATGGAACTAATTCCATCTTCAGCTTATCGATATTTCATATGCGGGATTCTAGGTACTAGCGTAGTGTTCTAAATAAATTTAGACCTTAAAAATATTTTATGAAAATGTCTGCTCAAAATAAATTATTGAACTATCTGTTGGCCAACTGACCACAAATCTGTGCCAAGCGAACGGCGTATAAATTTCGTTTTGTAAACTACTATATGGACAATTTAGTGCTGTTTTCCCCTTACAGAAACCATTAAGGTCCATAGTGTTACCTGGAAAACGAAAACCGAATTGCAAAGCTCAACACTCAAACAAGTAGCAAACTGGTGAAACTCGCTGTACTCTTTTGGTAGCAGCCTCTATATTCTTTAGAAAACCTCCGGAGTAACTGAGGTGCGGCGAGCTGGGACTGGTCAGTCACATAGCGGTGCTCCAGTTCTTAATCAGTTCCAAATTTTCTATAAAAAAATTGCGCTGCAATAAATAATTTTTAAAGTCCACCAAGCAAGTACAGTGGATAGTAACAACAAAAGTTCGTCGCACACAGTCGAATCTGATATGCAATTACGATTTTTTATGCGGAACGTAAGGGCCCCGCTTTACACCTCTAGGTTCGGCCCAAACAATTTTTTTTTTAATTGAATTGCCAACATTCTCTTGAATTAGGTGTGCGCGTTGAACTTTTTTGTTCGCTTGTAAGCTGGACGGTTTAAAGTACAGTTATAACCTTTCCACAAACGTACGCACATACAATGTAGCTGTACACTTTATCGTAAGCATACTGTATTTAAGTGCAGTGTAGCTGTTGTGGTGCAAAATAACTACAACACTTCTGCTTACCTAGACTGTTTTCGATTTGTTTTGCGACATTTGGACAGTTAGTTAAACGAAGTTATTTTGCAGCCAACGCGACGGTATCGACTTCGTAAATCATGTTTTTTTTTTGGCGGTATTTGAAATGTACTTCGAATGTGTACATTCAAACTGATATACTTCGAATATTTACATATGTACAACATATATGCATATGCCTTACGATTCGACAAACATAAATGCTGATAACAAAGAAATACATACCTACTGTTGAAAAATTATTTCAAAAATAGCGTTATCAAATAAAGTAGAATTGGGTTGAAAAAATAATAAAATTTGTATGGTACAGTTTGCACTGGAAATTAAGTTATTTTAATTTTTTTTAGTAGTTCGTATTATATTTGCTATACAAACTAAGCGCCATTTTCACAAGTAAACACAAATTTTGTTCTGAAAAAATTTGTTTGACGGGCAGATAGATTTTAAAACCTACTTGAGAAAACGGCTCTAAGTAGATCACAATTTCTATGTAACTAGTAATTCATATGGTACGTTTACGCATAATTCGTTTGTGCTTAAAATGAAGCAGTCAGACACAAATACTTACTTAGTAGACTCGAAACATTCATATACATACATACATATAGCAAATACAACTTGCCTTTAGTTTCTTTTTGTTGTTTCTTCAATTAAAATTTAATTTTATTATTTTCATAAATATTCCATAAATGCAAATTCACACAGAAAAATTGCGAGCTAGCTTCTAGCATTATTTTTGTTCGGCAGCTATTTCGCATCTATCGCTGTTCACAACCACATATTCTAGTAAACACCTGTAATCTAGAAACGGTCACCTAGTTATCGTCGTTTTATTCATCGTCAGCGCATTCGTCTTATGTAGGTATGTATGTACATGTCGTTGTGCCGTGATCATTGTTGCCGGCAATGTTCCAACGTGCAAAACATCTAAAAGACGCGAGTCATTATCGTCGTGAAACTCATTCGTGTTCACACAACTTAAGCATCGTTTCGATTTTTTTTCGCATTTTTCAAGTTTATGTTCTCTATTCATTTCTTTATTTCTCAAAACTTTTTGATAAGTCTTAAGTTGAGACCAGTGTTGCCATTTTAGCCATTTTCCCACTAGATCTAGCGATTTTATGTATTTTCTAATTAGCGGGAAAATTTTGAATTCGGTGACTAGCGGGATTTTTGGCGTTTATTTAGGAGATCTTAGCTAGTTTTTAGCGATTTTATTCATAATGATCGCAATTCTTTATTGGGTGTTTATAACTTCGTTGAAAGCACTTGCTTTTTCGTACCAAGGTTATTAAATACTCTGAGTTTGGTAGAAATTGATAAATCGGTTACCGAGATACACATTTTTTGTCATAAGTGGGCGGAACCACGCCCAAAATACAGAAATTTATATCTAAAATCTAATATTCTGCTCAGTGGTCATTGCAATAATCGATTTCGAGTCAATTAGTTTCAGTATTTACAGATTTATCGCAGTTTTCGTGTTTCTGTAAATTACCGTTATATGGGAGGTGGACGTGGCTATTGCCCGACTTCAAAGATATTCAACAAATTTCTTAGCTGGATCCTAAGCAAGGCTAGTACCGAGTTTGGTAAGGATTGGTTAAGCGGCTACAAAATACAGTATTTCATCATAAGTGGGCGGGGTCACACTCGTTTTTCAAAAATTTCATAATAATGTTATTTTTCACCAAAAGTCCACTTCACATTCTAATTTTCAACAACTTGGATCCAATATTTACTGAAATATCATAGTTTTTGCATTTTTCTAAAATACCGTTATATGAGAAGGGGACGTGGTTACAGTCCGATTTCGCCCATTTTCAACAGCAACCTATATACCAAATTTCGTTGAGATATCTCAATTTTTGCTCGAGTTATCATGTACGCGAACAGACGGACGGACAGATAGACACGGCTTAATCGACTTTTCTTTTCTTATCATTTATGTATACATTTGTCTATATCTATAACACCCCCCAATAGAAAGGAGACAGTCGCCGCTTTCTAAAAAGGGGAACCCCTCCCTTGGACTCCTCCCACAGGCACCTAGGGAACCGTTTGAAAAAGGGGGAAAAACGGATTTTTCTTGGGCAAACTGAGCAGTTTGAAGAGGAATATGACCCAACTAACAGAAACCGTGGGATTTTTTAATAAAAGAAATTATGCCAAATTAGATATGGGGGGATTTTGAATAAAGAATAAAAAGTTAATTAAAAATAGAAAAAAAAAGTTTTTATAAAAAAAAATGTTCTTTTTAACAAATGTATTTTTGCGTAGAATTCCTTTCTACGTAAGCGGCCTTCGGCCGCACTTAGGGATTATAACCCTCAGGCAGTAGAATTCTCCTTTCTGTGTTGCCAAAGAAGGGGTGCTGAACACCTTTTGCAGAGAACACCTTTCTGCGTAGGCGGCCTTCGGCCGCACTTAGGGATTATAACCCTCAGGCAGTAGAATTCTCCTTTCTGTGTTGCCAAAGAAGGGGTTCTGAACCCCGTTTGCAGAGAACACCTTTCTGCGTAGGCGGCCTTCGGCCGCACTTAGGGATTGTAACCCTCAGGCAGTAGAATTCTCCTTTCTGTGTTGCCAAAGAAGGGGGGCTGAACACCTTTTGCAGAGAACACCTTTCTGCGTAGGCGGCCTTCGGCCGCACTTAGGGATTATAACCCTCAGGCAGTAGAATTCTCCTTTCTGTTTTGCGAAGAAAAGGAGCTGAACACCTTTTGCAGAGAACACCTTTGTATATTTTTAATGCTTACTGGGTTATATCCTATCTTCTTTTGTCTCTCATTCTTTTGCATATTTTGGAGTTTGACAGCTGAACTCCGCCATTTAATTTGCATATGCAACCAAAGTCAGACGCGTGATTTTGAAGGTGTTTTTATTTAATGAATTGTGATGAATTGGTTAATATTAAAGTCGTAAAGCAAGTTATAACAAATCAAGTAAAGTGTAAAGTGAAGGGGAATACAAAAATATATTGGTAAAGTGGCTAATTTAAGCAGAATAGGAGTGATAAATGTACGCTAATTTCCGAATTTTACAAAAAAGGGCATATTTCAAACCCAATTTGTAAATAAATTAGTAACCAAAATTTACAAAAGTGAGTGTTAAAATATTGCGTGGACCCTTGACTACAAGTGTGAGAAATTTTTTTTTGGATCGGGCCACCCATTTGGACGGAATAGCCCGAAATAGTTGTGAGCGGTACTAAACCCCACCCAAAATATCCTGGCCAGGATTTTTTTAGACAACGCACTCCCGAAATATTTACAAACACGTTAAATTTCCTACAAAATAGATTGCATCCATTAAACAGATGGGTCGTAAGGTCGTGCGCTATTCAAATCTTCTCCTATATAATCTCTTATTTTATCAAATAAAATTGAACTGACAAATTATTAAAGAAATTAGTTTTTCGTAAAAGTTTACAGAACTTAAATGCTTTAGCGGGATTCTAGCGATTTTTGTTTATAAATCTGGCGGGACGGCAAAAAAATTATTGGCAACACTGGTTGAGAAACACACATTCGGTCGGTTTAATGTAGAGGGGTTGAGCGGGCGAGAGAATAACAAAGGTGTACGAGTGTATAAGAAGAATTTCGCGAAACTGCTCAGGTAAACACAAACAATCTTACACACTTTTGGCATATAATTGTGGTAGATGCTTTCTTCTTAAGTTGGTAGTTCGGCTTTCTTCCTTTGGTAGTCGTAAAATATGCAACAACAAAATGGAGTGTACTCGTATGCCAAAACGTACGTACAGTATTCAAAACACATTTTCGTACAACTCATAAGCGGTATTCATCAAAAGTGATAAACTGTTGATAACCTTGATAAATTTATAATTTTGATAAATGAACTGTCAAACTTCGTATGGAAATCTATTTAACCAAAGTTTATCACTTTATCAAACGACTTTGGTGGATAAATGTATAAATTTCAGCAAAATGTAACCCTTACAGGTTGTCACGTTGTAGCTTTTGCTACGAACACATAAAACGTAACTATGTAGCCATATAAGTTAAGTAATAAACAATTTTATGCAATTATATACCATGGTGCGGTAATGAAATAATGCGGATAAACTGATAAATTCAAGCAATTTATCCCTTTGTTGTCCCGGTGTGTCGCGGAACACAGCACAGATTTATCTTCGTCTGGACCAGTGTGTAGCAATGATGTATTGTAAATTTGTTGTAATTCTTACTCTTCTTTTTTGGCACTGTAACCGCCTAAGCGATTTTGGCCGAGTTCAGCAAAGCACGCCAGTCGTTTCTCCTCTGTGCCAACTGACGCCAAGTGAAGCCAAGTCCTTCTCCACCTGATCTTTCCATCGCAGTGGGGGCCTCCCTCTTCCTATGCTACCACCAGCGGGTTCCGAGTTGAATACTTTCAGAGCTGGAGCGTCGGTGTCCATTCGTAATTCTTACTATGAAGTGAAATTTTATACGATGGCTGGCTCGATAAAATATAAGATAAAATATAAGACGTTTTTAATAAAAACCTTTTATTCGTTTAACGTGTTGTTATGTATATATGTAACGTGAAGTATGTACAAATTTCTTTTATTTTTGTAAAGCAAGAAAAATAAAATATCCCAAAAAAGAATTTCAATATATATTTTGTTATCTTTTTTAATTGATATGTACTAAAAAATATACATGATACATTTGATAATATTTTAATTGTTTTCTGATATTTTATTTTGAGAAAAATATATTTATTTGTTTTGTTTTTGGTTGTGATGGTAAGAAGATCTCTTTTTCGATTTCAGTTTTCATTCTTACGAACAAAATTTTAAATTTTCAGTAAACAAATTTTTAAATTTCGAATCAAATCGAATTTGCACCATTAAATTTCGAATCAAATGGTTGGGCAATGTTCGAAACTCGGAAAAAATCGAACTGCAACAAATTCGATTTGTACGAATACATACTTCGCACTCTGTGCATGTGTACATGTATTGTTTGCATGCTTACTTTGGCCAGAAAAGTCAAATTGCTGTGCTGTCTAACTGTGTGCTTAAGCAGAGTTAATAACCTCTAGATAGTGATAAGCCGGAGTACATAAAGTTCAAACGCTCATTTTGTAAAATCAATCGGGCTATTTATTGCTGCATCAATCGATTCTTGTGAACACACTGATAAAACCACTGCATAGAATAGCTGCAATCGCATGAATTTAACTCGAAAATATACATTCGAAGCTATTCGAATTCAGTAAAAGTGTGTTCATAGGACACATGTAGACAGTTATTTCTGGCATTGGTCCTTTCAGTGTATTTCGCCACCTAGGGGTGTCGAATCGACGGATCTCTTCACCGGAGCATATTTGTAATTTTTTTTATTTTTTTTTTGTACATATACATATATGCCAATCGATAAAATCCTATGCCTTCCACTCCTGCCTGCCTGAGAGTGTCTTACGCTGGACTAAGTACTTCTCATATATATAGTATATGAAGAAATGTTGATGCAGATAATCGATTAATACAAAGTTCAGCCAGACAGTTAATCGAGCAATTAGCCGACTTCACTCAATTAAATCTTAGGGAGAGGAGTCAATTTAGGTTCAAATTGACGTCGTCGTAAAGTGTATAGAATGCGTATATCGGAGAAAAATTACACGAAATTAAGTTGAATAAGTTTCCAGACACATTGTATTTAGAAGAAGTATACAGGTTAGATTAGGTTAGGTATAAAGAAAGGAAGAAGTGAATTTTTCATTCGGGCCTGAATCAGTTTTCTTTAACCGAAGTATGTATATAGGGATTGTAAGTTAGTCGAATAGTATGACTCCGTACTCCATTGGTATACGCAAATTGCCTAGTGGACCTTTTCAATATACCCGATATACCGGTATCGTATCAAATTTGTAATCGACGCTCAAATGTAAATCGAGTTAAAACTTCTATGCAACCCTGATGAGTGTTAAGCTCTGACTTTTGGCCCTATTTCAAAAATATATGTGAACACAATATAGCGGTAGCTTAATTTAAATCTAAATCGCGTCTAAATTATTTCTTGTTAGACTTAGTATTACTTTGGTGCCTAGCTCTCAAGAAAAGGAAAAAGTCCATATAAAATATAAAGAGCTGAAGAAATGGCGAAGAAGTTTTCTTGTGTCAAAATTCTCTAAGGCAGTATGGAGTTCTAAGAAATTTTCTACGCTTTCTACTACGGGCTTTGAAGTTTTAAATATGTGAAGAAAAGACCACAAGGCAACAGAAATATATACTCGGTCCATTATTTCCTGACATCAGAGGTCAAAATTCCTTGGACACACAAACGAAATAATGGCAATATTTTCTCGGTCATTTCCTTAAGATACTAAGCTTTAGCTATCATTCATATTTTTTGTGACACAGCTTTTTACCTTAGTCTGGCTAAGAACTACATACTTAAATATGTATGTACACACATAGAATTCAGTCAGTCACAAAGCAAGAGCACTGCGTTCTACAGAGAAGGCTGTTGGTACTTTGCGCGACTGCCAACACATTGCAATATAGCGGTAGAGATGCCAAGCGTTTATAAGCGAAAAATATTCAAACAATACTTAAAATTTGTATAGGGTTCTACTACTATACAATAAAATATGCAAAACTTGTGTGTACAGTTTTCTAACCATTTATTTTCCATAATTAAGTAAGTGTAAATCATAAGTATACCCAAAGTGACCTTGAAAATTCAGCTTAAGTATCCTGAGCATTGTTCAGAAGAGTTTACCTGACAACAGCTAAATACGTACACTTTCAACGGTTCTTAACTCATTAAGTGAAAAAATACCTGTATTTGAATGCTTTTCGCGCGATCATTTGCATTCTAAATGCAGTGTACATATACTATTTCCAGGTAGGCGAAAGGCTAGTTTTCCCTATATATACATATAAAAATAGTACCCTGAAATGCTAACCTAATAATTTCGAGGCCCCCTAAATTTCATTCTGGCTACGTCCATCTACATATACTTCACAAGCATTATGATCATGTAGGACCTTTCAATAAAAATATAGTTAATTTTTTCGAAGTAACCAATAACTAAAAATGTACATTCGAAGTTGAACGTTTGACGAAATTCGTTTCTTTGGTAGATAAGTGGACATAATTGAGTCATCCGGGCAGGTTCGGCAATTTACTCCCATTTGAATTCAAAGCGAACTTCACTCAAATTCACTCGAAAGTAAATTTGCCGAACCTGCCGGATAAGGAGATTTCTTTTAAAGCATAGCCTCTCAATTTGCTTTCCAATTTTGCAACTTGGCATCTCTGCCCTTAGTAACTCGCTCGTCTATTTTGTTGTTTGCAGTATTCTTGTAAAATTTATCACAAAGAATAGTTTTGTGGCTAGGTACGTACGTATGTATGTATGGAAGTAGGTCCAGGACAGCTGCTACCGTTAGATGTGTTTTGTACATACATACATTTGGACTTGCTATGTATATTGTTTGTATATGCATTTCCACGTGTGTTAATCCACGCCTTTATCACCCTTGAGCCGCTTTTTCACCGCTTTTTTATTATGTTAATTACACCGATGGTGACAAAAGCGCCGAATTATTTTGTTCGTATGACAAATACGGGTTGAAATAATACCCACATAGGATGTACACATATATATTTACGTATACAGACAAAAAAGACATATCGGTATGAACGATGCAGGAAAAACGAGTTATAAAATTTCAAAATTGAAATAATTTCTTCCTGTGTTATTTATATGGAAAATAGAAATTCGCGATTAGCGACCTCAGCATTTTAATTTTAAGGGCTGCGCTTTTGACTGGCGTCTTTTTTTTTAGTTTCCCAAATATATATTAAAGGGGATTTTGAAAAAAAAAAAGAAAACAGAAGACAGTCGATTTTCTAACCAGTCTAATGTGCTTATGTAATTACAGTAAATCTTTTCGGGATTTACATAACGCACACGAACTTCAAAAGTGACACAACTAAAAATTTGGCATTTTTAAAATTAAGCTATAAAAATGTACACAGTGCCGTTATTTACCTTTCAGCAAAAGTTGTAATATTTTGTTATAATTTGTTGAAAAAACCGCTTTGTGCTCTCGTTCGTCTGAGTAATTTTAGTTGGCCGTTCACAGCTGACAACAATTGTGTACAAAAGAATTTCTCTGTGTGAACCTAGTCTTTGTGATACCGTCTAATCATGGTACAATAATTACAGGTATTGTCTTCCCAGCGAGTTTTGCTTCACATCGAAATTCGTGCCCCCTTATTTTCATTTTGATGCAGTTCAATGTTGATTCTTTTATTTGGCTTTCCTTTTTTTCGCTCAATTTAATTTTTATAATTTTTCAAAACAAAGGAAAAAACGTTTGAAATGGAGTGAGTCATACAAATTTTGAATTTATTTACAAGCAAATGTTTTTTCCCGCTTTTGCAAATTTAATAAGTTCTCTGCAAGATGGTTTGTTTAAAAAAAAATAATAAATATGGTATATGGGGTATGGAAATATCCATTTTCCCCAGCAGTAAACTTTTTAGTGTGGGCAACATTGAAATTTTTTAAATAAGGTAGATCGGAATATGCGCTCTCTGGGAAGACAATAACTGTAATTATTGTACTATATATACATAGAGGTCTGCATCGGAAGATATTTGGCTTCACATTGAAGCTTTCTAGCGAATACACTACCTTCTCTTCCTCTCACTGAGAGCGCGGATAGGGAAGAGAAGTATAGTTGCTAGGCGTCGAGTAACTAAGTAAATTACTCGACAAAAATAGAAAAAGAGAGGAACATAAAAGTGGAGTACTACGTTGTGAAACTTCCGCAAGTAAAAGGTTCCTTCATGTGAAGTTTTCATGTATTTTAGGAAATTTCGTTTGAAAGCATAATTTATATACATATAAGAAATATGATATGTCTCATGCACATAAAATATATTTACGTTTATTTCTATACGTTTTTTATATATATACATGTACATACATACATACATTTCGTTAAGGTATTTTTATGTCATTGCTCCATATTTACCCTTATAATACATCAAATTTAAATATTGAAACACAATTTTGAAGGTCAGCTTACCGCTTTCGGAAAAAATGCAA